ACATTCAACAGGGGCACAATGTAAATTGACAACACCATCCATAGCCACCAAACCAAACTGAATTAAATCAATTTAGAAGCAAGGTTTTCGAAAAAGCCCCTGCTGGCCAGTTGGAAAAAAACGCCTCACTTTGCAGCCCAAACAAATTGATTTCACCTGCATGTCATGTGCATGAGATTTAATAAATCAATTTAAATAACCCTTAAATTGATTTAACTGTAGTTCTTATTGCCAGTGGAGCTGCACCCTAAGTTAGACAAAAAGCACACTCCATTACAAAGTTAAATAACAATTAAATATATCATAATAATGTAAAAAAGCTACATAAGCATTTAAAAACTTTCAAATCACATTCAAAAAGAATATATGCCCAGTATCCAAGAAGGATTCAGTCTTGCCCAGTTGAGTTATTAAGAGCCTGCCTAAAGAGGCAGGACTTTAATGGGAAGGGGCCAACCAAGCCTTCCAAAGGAGACCATTCCATAACCTGGAGGCAGCCACAGAGAAGGCCCTTTCTCTCTCATGTCCCCATCAAAAGTGCCTCTGATAGCAACGGGACAAAGCAAAGGGCCTCCCCTGAGGATCTTACTTGAAAGAGTAGGAATCTTAATATGGTGCAAGTGCCGGCTCATGTTGCATCTCCTGCTATTGCCTTGTGTTCTGTTGTGGGTATGGAGCTGATGGCAAGGTGAACAGAAGAAGAGTATTTTGTACCATATAGACCCATGGTATATAGCATTCAGATCTTCTTGTGTAACTAACAACCCCCCCACCCCCGCATCATATTTTAGTTATTTCTGAGAAACTGGAAAGTGTCACTTAAAAAAAAAGAGAGAGGTATCTGTAGCAGCAACTGTTGTGGGGGCTGGTACTATAACTTTTACTAGTTCTACTGGGGCAGCTGTGTTTGTCTGTTGTAGCAAAATAGCAGAGTCACGTGGCACCTTTAAGACTAAACAGCTCTCTCCCCCCCCCCCGGCTCAGCAAGTCTATCTGTCTCAATAATGCATGTGGACAAAAACGTAGAAAGAGTAGGTCCGGTTCAGATTTCTGAAAGAGGCTGCAGAGTGTACTGCAGATTCATCCTGTCCTAACTTGTAAACCACACTGTTGATGTCTATGGTTCAGAAGTCTGGCTCCTGAAATTTGGAGCGTCTGAGGCAGACAAGTTCTACCACTATGTGGGGGAAGGAATGTAAAGAGCAGGAATGTAAGTCTGCTGCATATGAATTTAATGCTGTAAACCTTGGCCTATAAGAGCTGTGATCCAGAGGTTTGGGCGAAAGCTCAATTTTTTAAAAGAGGACTACTCTAACTTTTTACTTGAATGTATATACATAATGAACCAAGGCAAGCTTCTGCTGTAAGAACAGCTGAGAAATAACAGATTATCTGGATGCAGATTAATTTTCTTGGCTCAGGGACCTGTTTGAATTTTCCTGGCCCAAACAACATAGAATTCAGCACAAGCAGATGTGTTATAGCTGGAGCCTAAGGTAAGTAATCTTAGCAAAGTTCATGGGAGGGAGGTTTCCAGTCTCTCTTTTCATTCCATACTCTTCTCAGGTATGCATAATGGCTCTTAATACCTATTTAAAAGAAGAAGAAGAAAAAAACAGCTCCAAGTCTTCAGGACTGAAAATTAAATTTCACACGTCTGTGCTGTAAAAAGGAATGTAATGGCCTAGAGTCTTACCATATTGTTCAGGACTACCGACTTATCATTTATAACCTGTGGGTGTACATTTAAAATGGTGTTCCATGTTATCCCCACTACCAAAGTGCAGTACATTGGCTGCTCATTTAATTAACGGGTTGTATTTTGTGAATGTGAGCTTTGTGTTCCTGCTGGGGCAACCTCGGGGAGGAAAGTTGGAGTTCATGATACCTAGCAGTGACTAGTTTAATTCCACAGGCCTTCTAAGAATAAGTTGCAAACCTCTACGTCCAAGTATTGGTAATAGAAAATACAGGTGAGTTGGTTGCCTTGTTATTAACTGCTACCAGTGATGAATTATGAGCTCAAGAGAGCCATAGGATGGGTGGAGAGGGAGAAAAGCCTAGCAGTTGTGTGGGAGAGCAAAGGGAATGGAGTGGATGGACAAAGAGACACACAGAAAAAACTACGATAGATCGAACCATCTCACAAGGGTTATTACTCAACTCACACCATTTTCAAATGGTCTTAGTGACAGAAAAGCTGCTCCCAAATTAACATAATTGAATATTCATCCCCATCCTTCTAGATTAGAAAACTAACAACAAAGGCAAGGAGAACCTGGAACTTCTGGGAGTCTCAAACGACCATTTCTTTTATACAGAACACAACTTTATCCAGACATTATCTGGAATCCTAAAATACGTCTTAAACTGGCCATAGGACTTTGTCTCTGGTGTAAGAGTGTGAGTTCCTTGCAATCTGGTGACTCGCTAGTTTAGAAAACCTCCGAGCTGTGTCAGCTCAGTAAATAAAGGCCACCTCATTTGGAAGCAAATCTCTCGGCTAGGGTTGCCAGATGTCAGGCAAAAGGAGGACATGTCCTCCTTTTTAACCTAATGTCCTCCGTCAGGCAGACAAAGATAAAAACCTTTAAAATGTCAGGCTTTTGTATATTTTATGTTATAATTTTGGATGGGAGGAGGAGAGGTGGAAGAACCCCCTTCCCCCTGGTTTTCCCCGCCCCCACCTGCCCGCCCACCCCCGGGATTTTGAAAAAAAGCCTTCATTGAATTTATTTTTTATTTTTAACATGACTGTGTCTTGGTCGGTTCACTAAGAGACATTTATTGGCAGCTATTGTAATAAAATTGTATTGATTGTGGGTTTAATCTGGAATGATTCAAATGAAACATCCAACATGTCCTCCTTTGTCCTCCTTTTTGTCTTTCTATGTCCTCCTTTTAGTACCCGTGTATCTGGCAACCCTACCCTCGGCCATCTTTGTGATTGAGCTTGCTTTTCAAAGAACACAGTTAAAAACATTCCTTCTTTCTGTTTCACCTTCCACCCCTCCAATACAGGGGTGACAATTTTATCTGACTGGCAGCTGACACGGAAGCTGATGGCTGCTCAGTAATTCATGCAAGGTGTTTGAAAACTTTAAAGCAGCAGTATAAACACTTCTTTTGTCGGAATGAGGAAAGGCGTTCCAAGTGAACATTTTCATGCAATTCTGGATCCTCATGGTGAGAAGAGCCTTCTCCAACCTAGTGCTTTCCATGGGTGGTGAACCACAACTCCCATAATCCCTCAGCAATATTGCTAAGGGTGCGAGGTATGCAGGGATGCCGTTAACTAGCCAGTCACGAACCTTTCTGAAGCTCTGAAGCAGACTGAAAATGTTTCCTCAGGAAGCAGTTTGAGCAAAGGAACTTAGTAAGTCAGACAGAAAGTTTAGAAATTGATGAACAGTTTTGTTAATAGTTAATGAAAAATTAGACTTTGGGTTAGAGAGATTCAGTGATAATGAATACGTTCAGCAATACTCAGTTCTGCTCTCCAGGGTAATTCACATTGGTTGATCCACTCTATTCCTTTACCTTCGTTGCTTTAGCTGCCCGTGTGGCGAAAAACAAAGCCAAAAGTGATGGGTCTAGATAAAGTTTTCTTTCTTTCAACTTGTTCTGCAGACAGCTGGCCATACAGACAGCCATCACCCTGCAGGCAAAAATGTTGACTTTCTAGCTGAGGCCACAAATGACCATTTGAAAGGTAAAGCTCCTAGTCCTCATGGCACGTGGTTTCAAAACCCTGTTTATATAGTACCTCCACAGCTACTGAAAACTTGGAGGGTGAGGAGAGAGGAACTGCAGCTGCCAAGATTCTTCTGATCATACACATCAAAAGTGTTGTTGGACTGGAACTCCCATCAACTCCAAGGAGCACAGCCAAGGATGAAGAACACCAGGAGTCACACCCTTTTGCTGTAATCAAAATACGCATCATTTCTATGTCCCCAAATCCTGCTGTATTTTGCACCTAAGAGTTTGCCTGTGTAGGCATGAACATGTGCTATCTTTGGATACCAGAGCAGCTGTAGCTACTCCCTTCTTCGTCCTAGTTTGCAGAGATGATGTCCTCGTTGCAACTGCAGCCAGTTCTTCCCCACACGCCACAACCTCAGCTTCTACCCACCCTGCTTCTGCATGATTTGCTGTCTTCATTTGTTTCTCTCCGAGTCCTGCTTGATGGAAAATACTACTTGAAAACTGAATCAAGGACAGCTGTGTTTCTTTTTAAACTGTTTATTGTATAATATAAAACTACAAAAGTAAGACTGCTCATTTCCATGTAATTTGCCCAACTGTTTTTTTAAATTATTATTATCATTACAGCCCATACCTACAAGTGAATACAGTAATCTGATTTCAAATGTATATGTCTGTAACATTGCATAGAAAAGGCACAGCTCTAAGGTCTGTGGTTGTGGGAGCGGGGGGGGGAGCGGGGGGAGGGAGAAAATACAGCCTTTGTTTTGACAAAAAAAGCCCTGTTTTAAAATGATGCACAACATTTTAAACATGTCAGACTATTTACACTTTTTCTTTTCCCCACCCCTCCTGAATTTCTGCTTTAAGAGAGTCTAGTATGGATTATATTGTTAAGCATTTACAAATGCTTGATTTTGATTTTTTTAAAAATTGACATAATTTTAAAGGAAAATCCAAAATTTCTTTTAGGATTATTTGTAGCATAATATTGCAAATAAAAAGTTAAAATTTAAAATTTCCAAAAGAAACTTTCAGCCGTAATATTAGAAGTACTGACATGTTAATAAAAGCAAGAGTCTATTCAGTTTATTAATATTTTTAAAGTAATGCCATTACATTCTGGAGCCAATGACCCATTTCTTAGGGGAATACATTTACAATTTGCTCTTGTGATTGTTATTCTTTTCTTTAAACTGTAAACCTCTAGATTCCCAAGTCAGTTCGGTAAACTAACAGGAGAATCGTACAGCACAACTTAGTCTCAACTTGGAACAGATAGCTGTTATTTATTTTTTTGCAGCTTCCTGCAGATGGAAGCAACCAGAGCCAGGAGAGGCAATGGCTGAGGCGACCATTTTCTGCGTTCTCCATGCACTGATGAAAACAGGATGCTCAACTACACCATGCACTGGCACATGGAATCCTCACTCGTCAGGGATGCCCAAGCACAGCAGAGGACTGTATTCTCTGCTTTTTGCACCAGGAAATCCTTTCACCTTTAAGCAGAGATAGACCTTCTGCTCTGACAAAGGGAAGGGCGGCTTGCTCCAAGGGCACTGATGGTCCTACAGATCGGGGCACATTCTCTCTACAAGCCATCTTGATTTTATGTACATGTCCAAACGTCCTGCCTTCCCCAGCAGCCCTCCAAAAGCTGCCATTCAGGGAGGACCCTCAGAACTATCTGATTCTTAGCTCCAGCCCCAGCCCACCCCGTATCCGCTTCCCTGAGAAAAGCCTCTCTTCTCTCTTACCCAAGTGTTCCACCAAGAGTCTGCCACCTTTTGTCAAGTAACCTTTCAAAAATGAAAAACGGTTGATGATGATCAAGCCAATATAAAACCTACTTCCAAAAAGCACACCTGTTTCTCAGCACTTCCTGCCGTGAAGCATGCTTTTATTAACCCTTAGAGAGTTTGTCCCGTTTGGCCTCCATGCCAAAAAAACCTCACCGACTATGTTCAAATTAGAAAATTCCTTTGAAAAGGGAAAATAGGAAGACAAATCCTGTCATATTTGTAGGTGCTTACTCAAAGGGCTTTTATTCACCGTTCTTTCTTTCTTACTCATAAAAAGTTTTGCCCTTCTTCAGTTTACATGGGTCCAGGACGTAGATGACAGAAGGAGGAGTCCATTCTGTGATGGCAATTCCCTCGGCTCTCCTGGCTTCCGCTGCACATTTTTTGCTGAGAGCTCCTTTGTCAGCATGCCAGAAATGGGTGCACATACACAGGGCACCCTAAACTTGCCAGAGAGTTGATCAGTGTTATGCCTCTCTCTAAAGACCAGCCCCTCTGTTCCACCTACAGGGTTTAAATCTTTTCAAGGGAAAGGCACTAGCACTTCGAAACTGTACATTTTGGAGGCAGGTTGATGTGGTCAATCTCCCCCACAAAAACAGGGAGAGGAAGGTGAATTACATGGCTGGCTTGTACATGGAGGGGGAAAAATACCACTTTACTGGTTGGTTATGATGGCTCCCCCTGCTCCCCAGCTGTAAATCAATTTGAGAAATGGTAGCAAAAAAATGGTGCAGCCACCTCTTACTATAGGGGTGGGGCAAGTGGTGGTGTGGGGTCAGTTTTCCACTGCAAAACACCCTTAGAGATGCACCAGGGTTGAAAATCCCTCCTTCTATCAAAACTAGAAATTAGTGAAGATCCATTCTCTATCTCAATTGGGGGATGGGGGAGGGGAAGAAGAGAGACAAAAACAGCAAGAGAGATTTGCAAGTTTTTCTAATCCAAAATCACAGTTTCGGGGGACATCCAGGAATGAAGAGAGTCATTTTTGTACTTCAAAAATACTTTTGGCAAGAGGGACCGTAAGCCCGGGACCTACAAGCAGAACCATAGCTCCCCTTCTACCTCACAGGCCACTTTTGACAATGGGTGATGATTGCTGTGTATGGTTTGCTTTTATATGTACATCAGCTTGTTTATGGTGATGAAGGGCTTGTTGGCGTGGTTTTGAAAGTTGGCCTGAATCCTACTCACATGCCCTGCAGTGCTCCAATTAGCAACAAAAACCAGGCCCTGCCATGACTCCTTGTTATGAAATTGGTACTCCACTTCGCTTGCATGGATAGGGGTGGGGCGGGGTTGTTTTTATCAGGAAACCTACTTAGGTGCCCCTGATAAAGACTACTCAAGGACATCCAGCCCATTCAAGCTACCAGTGAGAGAACAGACAGCTTTAAGTCTCCAAGGCTGCCATCCTAGACACAGTTGACCGAAAGACCCACCGAATCTAGTGGGACTTGCCTCACAGTAGACATACATATATTCACTATATATAGGCTTGCACTGCACATGGGTGAAAACTTTGGGACAAAGTCTCCTTGACAGCAAGGCTATTTTTGTCAGACTGAAAGAGAATCTGTCTTTTTAAAAAAGTAACCAACAATACAAAACAGCTCAATTTTTAGAACTAAGTTTATAAACTTTTTTGCATAATTCTATCCAACCAGATCTACTCAAAGTAGAGAAAAGCAAAAATGTGGAGGGTGGGGTGCGGTCCTGCTGACGACATGTATCCTGAATAGAACCCAGTTAATAATCTCCAAACCTTTCGTCCCCCTCTTGTATGGATTTACATTCCTACAAGAGAATACATTCCTACCATACATTCTGTACATGTTACAATCCAGATGTTGTTAGCGTCACAATAAAATAAATATATGTACAAAAGAAAAATAAAAAGGAATAAATAACTTATGAAAAACAAAATTGAAAAAAAATCACTTCAAATTCAAAAAAAAGGTCTTTTTAATTCTGCTCTCTTCTTGTCACTTCATTGCACATGAGTGTCAATATGGTTTCCCCAACTTAGATGTTTGTTTGCTTTTCCAGGGGTGAGAGGGTGAATTTTCTCTTCCATTTAGAACCTTCAAGATGTTGGGCCATGCCAGGGAGATGAGAGAATGATATCAATTAAAAAAAATGCAAAGCATTGATCATTTCGGGACACTATCCTACTGAGCAGTTCCTCTGTCTACTACAACTACCGCTTACGTTAGTGGTCCCCAACCTTGGGTCTCCAGATGTTCTTGGACTATGACTCCCAGAAGCCTTCACCAGCACCTCTGCTGGCCAGGATTTCTGGGAGTTGAAGTCCAAGAATATCTGGAGGCCCAAGGTTGAGGACCACTGGCTTACGTGATGCAGACAATGTCCCAAGACAAGCAGTTCCCAACCTTGGGTCACCAAAGTGTTCTTGGGACTACAACACCCAGAAGCCTTTGCCACTAGCTTTGCTGGCCTGGGTTTCTGGGAGCTGCAGTCCAAGAACACTAAGGTGACCCAAGGTTGGGAACCACTATTTTAAGACAACAGGCTTTAGCTGCAAAGTTTCAAGCAGATTTACTTCGCGTGGCAAAGCTGGTGTCGGAAAAACCAAATTGCTGCTTTACTCTAAAATGGTGTTCATTTGAACTCTTGCCCAATGTATGGTCCTTATTTAAATGCTCAGCTAGGAAGTCCAAAGGACACTTGTTTCTAAGTTAAGTGTAAAATCCGATTTTAATGGATGCACCTGTTTGCTTATACTGTTATTTCCCCCTCCTCAGCAATCCTTGTAGCTTGTACAGAATTTAGGTGAAACCAAAGAAACCTGGCAGCAAAAAACAAATGTGGGCTACTGCTGTGCTGCGCTTACTCTTCCCTCGCACTGCATCTCACTACCCTGTAGTATCCTGTGCCCACAGCTGTGCTAGCCGCCTGGCTGGCAGCATGCCAAAACCACCTCTCGCAAAGCTGGCAGAGAAGGCCTGGTAAAATTTGGAGATGAGCTTGTTCTATTTATTTTCCCCTTGCAGACCATGGATGAACTGCAACTATCTAGCTCAGGTACAGGGTCAGTTTTTTAAAATTATTGGGAAGACAGCACCACCCTAAGATTTCTACATGATGGCCTGTTTTATAACTATGTCTTGTACAGTACCAGCTGCACACATATTCCTTCCCCCTCACCCCCCCAAAAAAAACTTAGAACAGATCCCTGCCCCAAAAGGCTTGCCCCCTAAATTAGTTGCTACAATTTGTGGCATTTTGTCCCTACATCCCCCCACCACACCAACGATGGACAAAAGTGTCCCTGTAGAAGGAGAACTTTTAACAGTTGTTTCATGACCACATTTATTTATATGAGTTACGGTTTTCAGGATATTAAAAGCTGGCTGATTAGGATTTCACTGACCATTATGCGTGACATTTTTGGTTGAGACAGCAGTTCTCTAATGGACAAGTTGGTTTATGGAAGAATAAGAAGCTATGGATGCATTACACGTAATACATTAAATATATTTCAAATAAATAGACATGGCATGTTCTAAAGTGCCAGTTTTGTAAAACTACCTTCCTAAAGGCAGTCAAGACCCCAAATTTTTTTTATCCATGACAAGAAGTGAGCAGAACTGACTGAATATTGCCAAATTACATAAAACATAATTTAAAATTTCTTAAATAAATATAAAAGTTATTCCTAAAGAAGCCATATGCATATCAACAATATAGTTTGTAACCTGCACTCAATTAAGTACCATTTAAAATTAATATGCCATAGCAATTTCAGCAACAGGCATGATTAACATTGCAAGTTTTCTTTAAAATAAATGTACATCACAATGAATACATAGGGAAAAAACGGCAATGGGTATAGCAACGAGAAGACTGCGTTGGGAAGGAAACATGCATAGAGAATTGCAGTTGTCCATACATTGTAAAACAGGCCTTATAAAGTGTAAAGCAGGTAACACAGTTGAGTCAAGAAACCAACCCTGGAAAACATACCAAAGTGTTCGTAACATGATCAGCTCCAGTTCTGGCAGCAATGGACATTTCTGCACAAGTCCATCCAGTGCCGCTAAGAGATGATTTTTGCTGCAGTTAATACTGAAGGTGCCTTCTTTGTTTCAGCACACTTGTCGACACAGTGAAGAACGATAATGTCCCAAGAAAAGGACAAGGGTATTCATAAGACTAAAGCAAAGGACTATGGCATATTTGCATGACATGATGAAGGGGGGGTGCATTTTCCCCCTCACCTGAACACCTTTTCTTGAAAGGAAGCTCCACTGACTTCAATGAAACGTACTTTCAAGTAAGCCCAGTTCATGTGCAGCCAAAAGGAAATGGGTTTTTGTTAAAATGGAAAGCAAAGCGGAACAAAGACGAACTGCTACACCTGCCCTGTAGTTAGCTCTACATTTAAATCCAATGGTAACTGAGTCATGACATGGTAACACTAGGTGCGAAGAACACAACGGTTGCAACTCAATAAAGAGAAAAGAGCACAGAAGGCCACTGATTTCTCCAACCTGGATTCTAGGCTCCCTCTCTGGGGAGGGGAGCTGTACTCACAGGAGGGGGTGTGTGTCTTGCCCCAAGCACATCTTGCCTGCCATGCAGGAAGCAAGAACACAGGGCCCAATAAGTGCAAGGGCACTCAACTTTGTTGGATTGTGGCTGGAGTCTGTTCTTCAATATATGCATCCCCCCCAACCCAAAAAAAAATTCAGTTAAAAAAAAAGTCTTGATCATTGTGGGATGTGGGGGAAGAAACAGTTTAATCAGAATGAAGTTTCACAGCTATTTTCCTGCCAACTGTTTTGACATCACTGTTGGAATATACATGGCTCTAAGAGTTTTCTTAATCACAGTAGTAGGCAGCAGGGAGTAAATATTTGTGAAACATTTCAGGGAAGAGCCCTTGGCCTTTTCCTTCAAGCACGTTTGTCTGGATTCAGGGAGGCCAGCTGCAGACTGATTTGATCGGAATTTCTCTTTGCACCATTAGATGGGTATAAAACACTACAAGTCCGTATAAAACTACAAGCAGTTCTTGTACCTCAGAAGGTGGATGCAGGAACTGGGTGAGCAAATCCTACCAAAATAGCTATTTCCTTTTTTTTTTCTCTTTTGTACTAAGTATAAACAGCATTTTGGTTTTTTTCTTTTTCTTTTTTTAAGAAAAGACCCCTCAATATCATAAATTGCAGAATCTGTACAAAAATATAAAATAAATTTGGGTAGCCGTTTCTAAAGAGCCATGTAAATGCAACATTTAAAGAGGAATCGTGAATACCTCTAAAAAGGCTGAATTGCTAAAGTCAATCTAGGCAGGGCTAAAATGCCAAAAAGGTACTGCAATTATCTAAATAATATTTTAACCTCTTGCAATAAAACTTATAGAAAAAATAGATAAATATGCACATGCAATGTACAGCTTTTCCCCAACATAATCCTTGTGCTTAGCTTTTACCATTCATTTTTTTTGTCAAACATACTAATATTGTTTACAATATGCATTTTTCTTTCCTATATCAGGATTTCAGGTCTCCCTTGAGGAACCACTTTCAAAATCACATTAAAAGTGGTTGTACGTGGATGAAGGCACTCCAACTCTGCTTGAGGCAAAAACTAGTGTGATCTTAAAAAAAAAAAGACAAGCAAAGACGCATGCACAGTGGTATGTGTGTGTGTGTGTGTGTGTGTGTGTGTCCATCCGTCCATCTGTGTAGATCTGTAAGGAGGGGGATGGTGTGAAAATACTACCAAGTGTGTATACTGGTACATTTTAAAAAGTTGCTATACTTTTTAAGACCCAACAAGCACCTCCATGATATGATCCAGTTCTGTAAGGTCCATTTTGAAAGGCTGACTGGGGGTTACTGGCTGGTTGCTGTAAGGAGCCAGAGTTTTTAGGAGGTCATCTGCAGAGACAGGAGCCATTTTTGAGGTGGCTCCGGTAGAAGATGTGCAAGGATCAAAATCATACATAGACGTGTCAATGTCAGCAAAGAGAATATCATCCAAGGTCAAGTCTGTAAGAAAACCTGTAGATGTCGTGATTTCAAAATTACCAGGTAAAGAGTCCATTAGTTTAGATTCGTTTATTCTGCTCTCCTGGACTCCCTCAGGCTTCTGAACACTGGGTGCACTGGAATTCTCCTTGGAGTTTTCTGATGGCGTCGTTTCTGCTGTTGCTGCAGCTACTACTGCCTCAGCGGAGGTAGATGATGGACAGAGCTCCTCAATTTCATCCAAGGCCGAGGAGAAACTGTCCTTTACTGGTTGGATAGCTGGAGGTGGTAGTTTTGTAGGACCATCTTGTGGGATAGTCTGGGAAGTGCAAAAAGTGTCATCTTCAAGCAGAGAGGCAGGGGTGAGGCAAGACTCCAGTGGTGTAGTGCCTGCTGAGTCCATGGGGTGGACTGGCGGAGAGGCCAGATGGCTAAAGGTAGGCTGAACCTCTCGGAAGCTGTCTCCCAGAGGGTCTGTAGGCTGTGAAGTGGTGATGAACACAGGCCTCAAGCTGCCTTCCTGTTTGAGTTCCTCCTGAATTCGCCTCAGCATGTTGTTAATTAGAACTGTCTTTTGCAGGCTTGGCTCTGTTAATGGCCTGTGGTTATAAAGTTTCATAAGGGAAATGTTGAAGATAGTCTGGCGCTGTAAGGTGTAAGAGACCTTAGATGGACCATCGGTAGGAGAGACCACTTTGCCTTCCAGCCCATCTTCATGCTCATCAAACTTCCGCTTTCCTCCTTTCCCCAACATATATCTGCAAACAAAAGGAAAGGGGACGTTACCAACGATAAAACACACCTACACATGCATTTACACACCACTCCATCCTTGCTTAACAAATGTCTTCGGATGTGCCTAGAAGCTGTGGTCCAGTATTTCTGTAAAAGGTGTGACAAAGTGATGAAGCACATCAAATGTCAACTACTGAAAGTAAATAAAATAGTCTTCATTCTTTTGAATTTCAGACATGTTCTCCATATCAAAACCCTTAACTATGCCCACCTGTGCTCTTGCAAGTATCAAGGAAATGGATGCACTGATTACCTCAAAATCTAGCATTGGTCCCACACAAGACAGTTGCCACTGGCATATCCAGCACATGGTGGCCGGAAGGCTTTAGGTAAATTCAGAAAGCTTCTAAGCTGTAGAATATTGTGTTCTAAAGTGTAGGGAACATCTAGCCTTCCAGATGTTGATAAACTACTACTGCAATCATGACTCACCATGGGCCAAGATGGCTAGGGTTGATGGGAAGTGGAATTCAATGTCATCAGCAAGGCCACAAGTTCTGCTCTTTACTCTCTTCTGGTTTTACCCTAGGTCAGGGGTGGCAAGGCGTTTGGCACTCCAGGTGTCTGGATTACAACTCCTGCTGTTCTCTGACACCGGCAATACAGACTGGGGAATTCTGAGAACTGTAGTCCAAAACATCTGGAGTGCCAAAGGTTCACCACCCCTGCTAGGTTAAAAGATGAGGGGAAAAAATAAATGAATGATCATTTCAGGATTTGTTGTCTTGCTTTTAATCCAGTTGTCATTTATTCAGATTTACTCACCCCTAAATTCCAACCACCTGCAAGTGGGTATCAAAGACTGAAAATGGCACCTACGATTTTAATCTAAAGTTGACTGTTGCACAAATGTTTTGCTAAAAGGGCACCACAGCAGTACATCACTAGGGAATACAAACACAGCTCTGGAAAATATGGGGAGTCAAACCATCCTGCAGCCTCTGATCCTGAGGCCCTGGTACAGAGGACCAAGGATATAAAAAGTCAGTTTAGTTTTAGTTTTTATTATTACATTTCCTAGAATATCCCAGCTTGAATAGCCATGAATGTGCAGGCTGGGATAGTTTTGGAAAGACAGTCCAAAAAAGGTACTGTTTTGCATCTCTACAAAGGGCTCTTATTTCCACCCATCCCTTAGAACTCAGAATGTGAATCTTAGAAAAAGATTAGACTCCGAAAAGCTGACCGCAAAGAATCATGGCTTTCTTGGTGGTGGCCCCCAATCTCTGGGACAAGTTACCAACACCGATACACCAGGCTCCTTCCCTCCTTATGCTCAGGAAACTACTGAAGATGGAATATTTTTAAAAAAATCTCCTGAATGCTGTTAATTTTTTTCTACAAATTCCAGACTTTATAGGGTTAGTTATATTTATGATTTAATCACTGTTTATATATTACTATAATGTTTTTCATTTTATGGTGTTATGTGAGGTCTTGTGGGTTTAACCTTTTAACGAGTAAACTGCCCAAAGCATATAACCCCCATACACACTCTGAGTGTATGTATGGGGGGGTATATAAATCAAATAAATGGGTAAATTAATGAATAAATAAATAAATATTTGCCATCACATCAGACATTATGAAATGTACAATATGTCATTAAGCACCTGCCTTGAAATATTAATATTTATTCAGATGTTTAGGTGAATACTAATGAACTATCAGAATTAGTTACAGATTAAGTAGGGGAAGGCAGGATCCCATCAATCAACAAGTAAAAAGCCATCTCTTTTCCATGTAGATGGAAAATAGAGTTTCAATAGAGTACTGGAGATTATCAAGCTAGATAAATATATTTTGTGACTCTGTCTATAATATTAGAAATTGATGATTTCAAGGTACATATCTTAAGAAACAAACACCCACGAATTACAATATGCCTAAATTTAGAAGGTGAGATATATAATGATATACTCACTCTCTGAAATATTGATACCATGTAAAATTTTGATATGGAATACATATCTACATAGAATATAAACTGAAGCCAATATAGCGTAGGAGATCATTTAATGCATTTAAATAAAGACACTAAGCACATATGAAATATAATATGATTTAAGTAGCCAATGTTAGATATATTATTTTGTGGTATTGCTCTGCTTGTCTTTTATATAGTGTTATTCGTTGTTGAAATGCCTTTTTTTTCATGATGGTAGCATGGATATTCTGAGGAATAATTGGAAGCCAAGGATGGGAGAGAAATACAGTGGTGCCTCACATAGCGAACGCTTCGCTATGCAATGAAACTGCATAACGAAGGGTCCCAGGCCATCGCTGGAGTGTTCGCTCAGCGATGGCCCCTATGGGCTTTTTTCGCTATGCGATGATCGCGCGGATGCGATCAAAGCATAGCGAACAGCTGATCGGCGGTTCCAAAATGGCCGCCGCTAAAACAAAATGGCGACCGCTGTTTTGCCTCGCTAATGAGGCATCCAAAATGGCCACCGCAATGGAGGAAACTCGCACAACGGTGAGTTTTAAGTCCATAGGAACGTATTAAATCAGTTTTAATACGTTCCTATGGACTTTTTTGTTTCACTTAGCGATGGATTCGCTGAGCGAGGGTTAATCCGGAACAGATTAACCTCGCTAAGCGAGGCACCACTGTAATTATTAGAATTAGTACAATCTTAGGACGGATCTTTTTTGGAATTTTTATAGAGCAATAAGGTTGATGCAGTCAGACTTCTAAGAATGGATAATATTGTATGGAAATGCTTCCCCCCGGCCCATACATGTCGGGTTTTTGTTTTGTTCCTGTTTTTGATTTTATTAGTATTGTTCTTTTTTGGTTTTCTTTTTTGTTTTTCTTTAATGTGTGTGTGTTTTGTATGTAGAACAAAATAAAATTATTTTTTAAAAAACAAAAAAATTATCTTATAAAAAAACAAGTAAAAAGCAAATTTGTACTAAAATGTGCAAAGAGAGGTATTAAAATGGATTTAAAATATAAATACATATACAGAACCAACTTTATGGTTTAACTGAATGTTACAGAAGAGAATGAAACGCCTTTCTTACAATAGTGACATCTCAGAATCAGATGTAAAAGAATGCAAGGCTTTAAGGATGGTCCTTCCTCCACTTCTTCAGCCAACCACTAATGAGAGGGTGCAATTCAAAGCTGAGCTTCCCAAACTTGGGGCCCCAGCTGTTCTTACACTCCAGCTCCCAGAAGTTCTGACTACTGGTTATGTTGGCTAGATGCACTGGTTCTTAACCTTGGGTTACTCAGGAGTTTTGGACTGCCACTCCCAGAAGCCTTCACCACCAACTGTGCTGGCCGGGGTTTCTGGGAGTTGCAGTTCAAAAACATCCGAGTAACAAAGGTTAAGAACCACTGGGCTAGAGCTTCTGGGAGCTGGAGTCCGAGAACATCTGGAGTCCTGCGTTTGGAAACCACTGATTTATAGAGAGTTTTCCTGGTCTTCTCAATCTATCCAAGCACAGCAGAACATGGCAAAATTACCTCTCCCAGAATGCCTCAGCCACCACAGCCATGGAAGATTCTCGACACATTAGGTCCACCACAGTCCCTTTACTAGGCCTGGAGACAAAGGCCCCTCCTCCGAGCCCTTCTGGTCAATGATACTGGTCAAGGCGGCCCACCATGAGGACTCACTGGCTCATCCCCAGTTCTGCCAGGTGGATATGGATGTGTGTGTGTGTGTGTGTGAGCATGTGCATGTGTGTGTGTGTGCTGCCACAATCAATGTTCAGAAACCTAAGAGGAATGTGTATATCAAACTGGAACATTTGTCTATCTCCAACGAACTGCACATGGATGACTTCTTCACCATTGCAGCTGCAATACTTCCCAATACTTCATACATGCAGGGATTTTATTTAAGTTCCAACTATCCAGACAATCATAATGGAAAAGTACTTTTGAGAACACACACACACACACACACAAGACATGAGTGAGTAAAGTACATCGTCCTTGGAACCGCAGCTGCAGAAGTTCTCTTTGGACTTACTCCAAAGCAGAAAATACAAGCACGCACAAAACATTCCCTCCACTGAACACACCCTCCTATAAATTAGAACGGGAATATTTATTAAAATGCTAAAGCAGTAGCCTACAAGCAATAAGAGGGCAGGGAAGGGGAAAATGGAAGGATGTCAAAATGACTCAGAAGCTCTGAGATCTTGTTACTATTGAATATTCCCTGTCACAACACCTTAACATTTCTGGAACGGAATGTCACTGCTGGCTGTAGATTTTTGTTACCTCATGTCCCCCTCCTCACTTAGAAGAAAAACGCCAAGCTACTTTGGGAGAGACCACTGGCATTTTTAAAAAGTCATCATATAACAGATGGCAGTTGAGAAATCAAAAGGTGTTACGCTCCAGAACTTTTAGGATAGAACAAAGGATCACACTGGGTTCAAGAATGACCTGCACATGTTGGGGAAGATACTTTGTGATTCCAATCTCATGTCTTGGTTGTAGCTGAGGAGGTATGAAAGAAGTGCCAACATCGAAACAGTGCCTGGAAACAGATTTGTAACCAGTGCAGCAATGATGCAGTAACTGAATCCTTGCTAACCGCCAACAAGGTATTTCCTACTCTCTTGACTCAGATACCGAGGCCTCTTCTGGAGCTTCAAAGAGCCAGCTAGAGAAAGGAAGGGCAAAGCTGTGGGTGGCTGCAGATCTTAATATTATAACTATGGAAGAGATTACCTAGGCCAATTCCCCAGGTTAAGCAGATGAAAATTATCCCTGACAACATGGATCCGGCAAAACATAGAAAACAAGATGCCAAAAGTGTATCTTTAAGGTCTGTTATAATAATGCAATCCAAGGAGGAGCAGAGGCAAATAAGTGGCTATCAGCATGAAAGCATCACAGCAAGTGGCCACAGAGTTCTCTTCCTTTTCTACAGTCCTTGACGTAACTACTCAGAATAGCTCAAAAACCCAGACTATCACCTTCCAGCCATTATTC